AGCCTTAGGGTGGCCTGATAGGCTGTGATAGCCTTTTCAACCAAGGGTGGCTTGATAGCCTTAGGGTGGCTTGAGAGCCCAGGGTGGCCTGATAGCCTTAGGGTAGCCTGAAAGCCCAGGGTGGCCTGATAGCCTTAGGGTGGCCTGATAGCCTTAGGGTGGCATGATAGCCTTTTCAGCCTTAGGGTGGCCTGATAGCCTTAGGGTGGCCTGATAGCCCAAGGTGGCCTGATAGGCTTAGGGTGGCCTTTTCAGCCTTGGGGCAGGAAGCTGGTGGCCTCTCTCTCTCTCTCTCTCTCTCTCTCTCGCTCTCTCTTTTGTTGGTGTGTGGAGTTAGCAAACGGTGTGTGGAGTTAATCTTGCCCTTTTTTTTTCTGTTTATTTTCCCTCTTTCCCTCTACCACCCGCCTGTCCCCCAGCCGTCCCACACCAGTCACACTGTTCCACATACGTGGTTAGTGGGATCGCCCTCCTGGAATCGGAAGTTCCGCCTGTGGAACGGTTGCCTTGCGGAGAACAYTGTCGTTTTTTTGACAAGGGACAGAGAACATCGACGTTTTTTTTTTTTGCCTCCGAGTTCTGAGTTTTTTTTTTTGTTCTTTGGTTGTTTGTTTTTTTGTTTTATGTCGTCTTGTGTTTTCCCTCTGATGTCCAGGTGTTCTACACTTTGCGTTCATCGTTTTTGCCTGTTTCATAGCATTTCTTTGCCGCTTTGACGCCGACTTCGATCTCTGTTGCGAGTTGGCAACATTCTCAGAGGGTTCCGACATCGTCTTTTTTTTTCGCGGTTGGCGACTTTCATCATGTCGCAGGACCGGGCGAAGGATCCGGTAGACTCGCTCACGACCGCCCGACAAGGTCATAACATGAAGACGTTTGACTCGCCGTTCAAGGTCGACCCGACAGTCGACGGCAAGCGGGAGGACCCGGTGTGGCATTTCGTGGCCAGAGGGCATTATTTGGATGGGTCGACGACGGCGGGCAGGAAGAGCGGTCGTCGATGCCTGTGCAGGTTTTGCGGGCGTTCGATTTGTGGGGGCACTAAAGCCGCCAAGGAGCACTTCTCGAAGAGCGAGAAGTTCCGATGTGAGGCAGCCACTCCTGCTGTGTGGAATGCGATCTGGTCGAAGGACATGACAAAATGTCCAAAGGAGTTCGCGTCGGCCATAGAAACGTTGCAGAGTCACTTGCCAGGTCATCCGAGCTTGCAGTGGCCACCTCTTCGATTCCCCGAGGACGCGGTGCCGCCGCTGGTTCCTCCCACCGCCCCTTCTGGAGCCGTCGCATCGCCCAATTCTGGGGCTCCGGCCATTCGAGTCACGGTACCGCGTCCTGCAACAACAGTTGCAACACGACCGGCAGCCCCGCCGTCTGCGCCGCTGGCTGGGATACGAGGTGTGGGAGTTGGTCGTTCCACGCCAGCCAACGAGCCCCCGTCTCTGAGGGATGGTGTGGGCTCTGCGGCATTTGACGAGGAGAGCACACATGCATTTATTGAGAGTCGCAGGTGGGGGGGGAGTGCCGGCAGTTCAGCGCCCGCACTCGCCCCTGTTTTCAAGAGTGCTAGGCAGTCAGATGCCGCACGGGGTGGTACTGCGGTGGCACCTAGCGCATCACCCCTAAGTTCGTCGGAGCACCCCTGGCTGCCACCGCCACTGTCGAGAGCGGCGCAGCGTCCAATGGTCCACCACGCTAACGGAACCGCCCACCCGGATCCGTCACACGCACCTGCAGATGCTCGACATTCTGCTTCCGTGCCTCGTTTCGGGGAACAGGTGGATCATGGGGTGCCTGCCGAGGAGGTCCCCGCTCCGGTGTCCGATTCATCGCCGACCCCTGTTCCGACAACCACGGGCGGTGGTCGGTCTGCCCCACAGCCTCCACCCGTGTTGACCGGAACGTTAGACCCTTTGCAGCGCATTCGTGACCTTGCAGTCGCCCAGAGCGCGACACCTGTGAGCCCTGGCGGGTTGTTGGATGCTGGGGTCCTCGGCGGGAGAGCTACGATGGGACGATGTCGGGGCACTTACAGGCAGCAAGYYGTCACRTCATATTATKYGGACCCTTTGGAGCGYGCATGRCATCTGCAAATCATGCGGTTCATYGTCGAGAGYGGGATGCCGTTCAACAGCACGAAGCTTGAAAGCTTCAAACGCATGTTCACGATGATAATCCCGTCGGGGGTTCAAGGGGCGCCCGCGCCTAGACTTCCCTCGTACCACATGCTGCGCACG